CGCTGGACACGGGAGGACAGTGGAGAAGTGAGCAAGGATGGGACTCCCAGTGGGGTCTGCCAGAGAGACTGCAACTGGCCGGCCAAGCGGCGTGAGTGTGGTGCGGTCTCGAAAGAAGGAGCGAGAAGCCCCCGAGTCAAGGGTGAAGGTGTGGGAGGCCGAAGCCGACGCAGTACCTGAGAGAGCAGACTCACCAGCACCTGAGGGAGCAGACGCACAAGCACCTAGAGCAGCAGCCTCGCTAGCACCTAGAGCAGCAGCCTCACCAGTACCTAGAGCAGCAGTCTCAATGCCCAGGTCGGTCGGAAAACACCGGTAACAGTCACCCTCATCACTAATAGTCACAGCATATATGGCGGCAAGAATAGCATCAAAATCAAGGTCAAAGACAGCTACTCCCGCCGTAGACAGCTCGCCCCAGCGAGGGATCTCAGTGGCCTCCGGGAACTGGTGACGCCAAGCGTCCGTCAGGCGGCCAAAGCAGCGCTGGGTGGGGTTTGAACCCCTGCACTGCTCACCCGTGCGGTCGCCGGTGTGTAGGACGTAGGTGCACAGACCTGTACCCCCACCCCGCTGGCGCGCAGCGTACCACTCACGAGTGCGCTGCTGCTGCTGCTGCTGGCGCTGACCACCACCGGAGCCGACCCTCTGTGCAGCGCCCCTCCGACCAGCTCCACCTCCTCCGCCGCCGCCTCCTCCACCGCCGCCACCTCCTCCACCTCCGCTCCCACCGCCACCGCCGCCGCCGCCTCCGCCTCCACTGCCGCCACCGACACCTCCACCCCCGCCACCACCCCCACCGCCACCCCCACCCTCTCCGCCGCCTCCACCGCCGCCTCCACCGCCCCCGCTAGCTCCTCCAGCGCCCTTGCCCCCCTTGCCCTTGCCAGGGCGGCGTCTCCCGCTAGGGGTAGACGCCGCACCGACCGACCCAAGACCAACGAGGTCGGCCGCAGCAGCAGAGGCAACAGAGGGCAACAGAGGGCAAAAGGGGGGAGGGGGAACACCCCTCAAAGATGGGGGTGCGAGGGTCACCACGAGAGGCTCCTACAGCGACTATGCTCTTCTCTGCTGCTAGGAGGGCCTTCTCGAGGAGGTCAACGGTGAGATTGGTGGGGCAAACTGAGAGAAAGTGGTCCCTGACTACGCGAAGGGAGTCAGGGAGCCGGGTGACTATATAGTAGAGGGTGATGTACATGGGGGGGGGGGGGTTCTTGGCGCAAAACTCAGCAGGAAGCGCAGCGCGGTAGCGAGTGTCACTAGTGCGGAGGTGCGTAATGAGGTCAGCGACTGTGGGAAAGGCAGCAAGGTCAGGGAAGAGGTACGGTAGCATGAGGCGGCTCAGTGCTGTAGTGGCAGGGGAGGAGTAGCGTGCAACTACAGCGTCATACAGGGTCTGAGCACTCTTGTATCGGCTAAAGTGCGCACGCTCAGAGGTAGGCAGGTGGCGACGCACAGCAAGACGTGCAGCAGCATTGCGTGTGCCCCACTGTGAGCAAACAGTGGCGTCGGCACCAGCAGCAGGGGCAGGAGAGGCACCAGAGGTGAGGTCAAAGAGGGAGAGATCGTCTGCCTTATCGCACTGTAGGAAAAGCTGCAGGTCATCTACCCAGACGTCAAAGTCAATGGCCCGACCCTCAGCGTCAAAAGCGAGGACACTAGGGGTAGCCATGACAGCAGTAGACCAGCAGAGCGAATAGTAGGGTAAGGGCAGTGCAGTGACAGAGGCGCTGCTCTTACCGGACAGGGCGGCTCGGGCGGCTCGGCGGCTCGGCAACTCGGCGGCTCGGGCGGCTCGGCTGGCTCGGCGGTACGGCGGGTCGGCAGCAACTGCGGCTCGGCGATTCGGCGGCTTGGGCGGCTCGGGCGGCTCGGCGGTACGGCGGCTCGGTAGCTCGGCGGCTCGGGCGGCTCAGGCGGCTCGGCGGTACGGCGGCTCGGCAGCAGCTGCAGATCCGCGGCTCGGCAACCCGGCGGCTCGGGCGGCTCAGGTGGCGCGGCGGCTCGGGCGGCTCGGGTGGATCGGGCGGCTCGGCAGCAGCTCGGCGGCGCCGGCGGCTCGGTGGTGGGTCGCGAGGGCGGCTTGAAGAGGCCGCGAGGGCGGCTAGGAAGGGCCGCGAGGGCGGCGTGAAAGGGCCGCGAGGGCGGCGTGAAAGGGCCGCGAGGGCGGCGCGACGCGACGGAGCCGCGAGGGCGGCGGATCGGGGCCGCGAGGGCGGCGCGACGCGGCCACTAGGGCGGCGCGACGTGGCGCGGCTGTTAGGGCAGCGCGACGGGGCCGCGAGAGGCCGCTAAGGGGCCGTGAGGGGCCGTGAGGGCGGCGCGACGGGTCCGCTAGGGGCCGTGAGAGGGGAGACCCACGGAGCGTGACTCGGGCAGGAACTGAGCGCGCTCCGGGCAGGAAAAAAAAAGAATTGAATCGGTGGGCCCTAGGAACAGTTCCCACGAGGGAAACTGCTCGATACCATTTGAAAACTAGAACGAGAATGAAATGACTAAGGGAAAGTTGGGAACAAGTACAAACCCTAGAAAGCTGTACCCCATATGTGCTACCCCACTATAGCCTACAGTAGCTATGTCATACAAATCTGACAACATCATCTCGACGTCCACTTCCACAGTCAGATGTCTCCGCCTGTGCGCCATGGCGAGCCCGTCCTCACTGCCGTCAAGCGCGTTACTGATGCCAACGGTGAGGAAGGTGCGCTTGATGAGGTCGGCGGGCACTGCCTTTCAGGCCCGTGAGATCCATCTCAATACTGTTAGAATAGTAGCATATGTATGGGTTAGGGTTTTGGTAGGTCCTAGGCTTAGTAGCCTAGGCCAAGGAGGAACGAGAGAGTTGTGCCAAGAAGGGTCAAGAGAATGATGGTTTCACTATCGAAACATATATGAAATGTATATATGAGACCCACTCCCTAACTGCATGCAGTTGCGAACCATGTGCAGAACACTCCTTGAAGGGGTACACCAGGGTGCAGCAGAAATAGGAGAGGGCATGTGAGGAGGAGAGAGAGAGAGGAGAGGAGTTGGTGGGCGGCATCTGAAGCTGCTGGCACACGACGGTTACTCCTGTCAACCTCTTCCTTCTCCCCTCATACCACCCCCTCAACCCCCCCCTCACATCAGCAGCAGCGGGAGTGAGGAGAGGGAGGAGGCATGCTGGCGTTGTAGGTGCAACCACCCCCTCACCCTTCCCCCCCCCCCCCCCCCCCCCCCCCCACACCAGCAGGCGCGGCAAGAAGAGAGAGGAGGGCGGCAGCTGGTGGTGCAGGTGCAGGTGCGTGTGCAGCTGCGCGCGACAGCGCACGTGGGGCAGCAACACGCGGGGCAGCAGTGCGCAGGGCACAGGCGCACGGGCCAACGAGGCGCACAAGGCAGCAATGCGCAGGGCAGAGGCGCGTGGGGCGCGGGGAAGCAGAGGGCGCAGAGGGAAGCAGAGGGCGCTCGAAGCAGCAGGGCGCGCGCGGGGTGAGGCAGAGGCGCACGAGGCTCCAGACAGAGGCGCACGAGGCACCGTGCAGAGGCGTACGAGGCGCCAAGCAGAGGCACACGAAGCGCCGGGCAGAGGCGCACAAGGCCCCGGGTAGAGGCACACGAGGCACCGGGCAGAGGCGCACTAGGTGCCGGGAAGAGGCGCACGGCAGGGTACCGGAGGCACAAGGCAGGGGATGAGAGGAGGAGGAGGCGGCTGATGCTGCACCTGGAGTCACCCAATCCCTCACCCCGCCCCCTCCCCACCCCCACAGTAGCAGCAGCGGTAGAGAACGAGAGGAGGTGGAGTGGCGGTACGCGATGAAGTGGCACTCCCGCCACCCCCAGTGTGAGGCAATATTGGGCGGCAGCAGGTGCTGCTGGCGCTGACGGACGCTGCTGACACCCGCCCACCCTTCTCTTCCTCACTCCTCCCCTTCCATGAGCCGCCAACCCCGCCACCCCCCCTCCCAAGAGCCGCAAACCTCGCCACTTCCATCCCCATAGGTCGCAACACCTGACATTCCCCCTCCCCCAGCTGACATGGCAGTAGGAGCAAGCGCGGCTGGCAGTGACAGGAGCGTGATTGAGGGAACAAGGACGGAGGGGACAATGGGAAGGAAGGCAGGAGACGGCTGGGAAGCGAGGCAGGCCGGGGCGGGACGGGACAGGACGAGATGGGATGGTGCAGGGATGGGACGGTGGTGCAGGCAGCTGGTGGTGGGCGCGTTTGGCTTCCCCCCCACCCCGCCACCTCCCCCCCTACAGCTAAAGCTGCGAGTGGGGCATGGAAGGGCAGGGCACGGGTGCGGGCTGAAAACGTCCCACCGAAACCCCATTCCCCCCCCCTGCCTCCCCCCCAATACCCCCATTTATGGCGGCGGCGGCTGTCGCACGCGCAGCTGGCGTCGGCATGCTGCCGCACTGCTGTCGACGGGCGTGTGGGCGGGCAGATGGACGAACGAGCGGGCGGGCTAGCGGGTGGAAGTGCGGGCGAGCGAGCGGACGGGCGTACGTGCGTGGGCGAACGCGCTGGCGGGCCGCTGGCGATTTCGCTGGCAGTTTTGCTGGCGCATGCGCGAACATGCTGGCGGGTTGCTAGCATTCGCCATAGCGTCCGTCTCGGCCGTCGCACAGACCGCCTCGGCCGTCGCACAGACCGCCGCGAGTAGGCTGGCGACAAGGAGGCGACGTGACAGTTTTAGCACAAGCAGCACAAACGCGCCATCGGAGATTCCGTGCCAGCGGAATAATAGGTCGCCATGTATGATGGCGGATTTGGTGGGCCCATGAAAGTTGGTCCTAGGAAGAAGAACCACACTCGGATGCCATGTCCGAAAAGTAGCACAAGTAGGAGTTAGGTTTAAGTAGGGCCTAGGCTTAGTAGCATACATGAAGACCAGCCAACCCTACGCTAACCGTCATCTTCTACACCATCTCCTATAGCCGTGTGATCCTGTGAAGGCTTTCTCTATTGAGAAATTCATAGGGGAAGCTACGAGCACTGGAACTTTCGCATGACGCTGATGTACACCCAATACAAGCTATTGGACCTGGTGGAGGGGAAGGAGAAGATGCCGGAGGTCACGGAGCTGAAAGGAGCATGGATGAAGCGCTCGTTCGACGCGTACATGCTTATGGTGCAAGTGGTTGGCGGACGACAACTCGACCACATCAAGGACCTCTTGGATTATCTAGAATGTGGAACCAAGGCTTGGAGGAAGCTTCTGGATGTGCAGTCATCGACACATGCTACCGGCATCGTGCTACTCGCGCGGCGGCTGCGCGACATAAAGTTCGTCAATGGAGAGCCGATGCAACCGGTGTTGGACGAGATGCGCGACATCTTCACGAAGCTCCAAGGCGGTGGTGTGGTGTACTCAGAGCTCCTGCAATGCGTGGAGATTGTGATACGGCTGCCGGAGTTGTGGTCTGCCCTTGCGATCAACCTCAACTCTCAACAGCCCTAGTAGAGCGTGGATTACATTCGCGCGCGCATCCTAGAGGGGGACTTGCGGCGGCAGAGTGTGAAGCGCTCGGAGGAGCGGGCTGGCTATGGAGTTGGAGGTGGAAAGAGTGGCTTCAAGAAGAAGTGGAAGGGCAAGAACAAGGAAAACCCTAAGGAGGATGGCGGCGGGGGCCAACGGTAGGTGTGCTTCTACTACAAGAATCGCGGACATTGTTGGCGGAAGTGCTACCAACGACCCAAGAATTCAACCCCGCCTTCATCAAGCGTGGTGGCAAGAGGATTGGGGGAGTCATGGGAGCTAGTGGAGAGGAGAAGGATGAGGAGAAAGGCGGCAATTCTGAGGAGCGGAAGGCCGAGTTCTTCTTCTTCATGAACGAAGGCGCAACCGACCTCGCTATGGCTGCTAAGGTTCTCCTACACCCCCTCACCCATTGAGTGATGAACTCGGGAAGCTCCTGGCATATGACTCCTCGTGCGGACCTACTCGATAAGATTCAGCCCGCACCAATCTCTACGGTCACATCCGTGATGGGCGCCAAGGCCGAGGTCATGGGCATGGGGTGCGCCAAGTTCATGGGAACGGATGGAGAGTGCGTGGGGCTGAAGAACGTGCTGTGGGTGCCGAACTTGTGCGCGAACCTGATTTCTACTAGCCGATTGGGAGATGAGGGTGTGAACACCGCAACGATTGGCTCGGAGCGCTATAGTGCCTACAACCACGAGCGCCTCATTTGGGATCTGCATCGGAAGGGAGATGTCCAAAAGGGCATGTGGCAGATCCCGGTCCTCCCTTGGTGGAAATCGGGCAAGGTGGCAGCTGCGGCATCTATGGAGGAGAGCATCACTGAGGAAGAGCAGCAAGGTGTGCAAGGAGACAAGCGCGGCGGTGAAGGCGTCGGCTAACTTGGGCCAAGCGGGTTGGGAGACTTGGCAACGGTGACTCCCACACGTGGTTGTATCAACTTTGGAGGTGATGCAGAAGGAGAAGTGCGTGCATGGGCTGCAACTGCAAAGAGATGGGCGGTTCCTGTTTCCACGTGCAGAGGAATTGGCGAAGGCACCCTTGGAGGTGGTGCACATGGACTTTGTGGGTCCTATGAGGATAGAGGGGACTGGGGGAGTGCTGTATTTCCTCACCATGGTGGACGAATGGAGCCGTTTCACGTGGGCGCGTCCCTTGTCCAAGAAGAGCGATGCTGCATCGACGATCAAGGAGGATTGGTTGCCGATGGTGGAGCGGCAAGCGATGCGGCTGGTGAAGGTGTTAGAATAGTAGGAAGATGGATGAGTAAGAAAAGTATGGAGAGTTTTTACAAGAGAGAAACCTAAAGGGGTTGTACCCCACATTGGCTACCCCACTACAGCCTACACCTAACTTATATATATAGATATAGTTTGACACACCCCCATAGGCAAAGTGGGGGAGAACAAGAGAAGCAAATCAAGCTCAGAGTGGATCACAACGTCACCACACATTCCGAGCATAGGCAAAGGGCCACAAAGCCTGTTCACATGCAGAGGTATATATGGAACATCAACATTAGAGTGATCACTACCTAGCAAAAGCAAGCAAGCAGGTATATATGTATAGATCACAGTACAAGCAAGGTCACGAAGTGAGCAAGTGAGACGAAACACGCACAAGGCCTAACATAGTACAGAAGTGCTGATGATCACCAGACGAAAGCGGCTTGGTGAATATGTCAGCATTGTTGGCCCTAGTGGCCACGTAAGCAACACGAAGCTGGCCACACTGCTAAAGCTCTCGAGCAAGGAAGTAACGCAAGGTAATAGCAGCCTTGTTGTCTACGTACAGAATTGGAGGAGAACAAGGCCTCTCTCCCAAGTCGGTCAGTAAGTAGGTGAGACAGCGTAGCTCTTGCGCAGCCATGGCTGTGGCGTAGATCTCAGCCTCACAGCTGGAGCTGAGAACAGAAGACGAGCGGGTAGACCGCCAAGAAACAGAGCCGCAACCAAGGCTGAAGGTGTAACCCTGTGACGACCGCTGCGTAGCCAAGTCGTCAACCCAAGAAGCGTCTGCGTGACCAGTGAGGACAACCGGACCCCGTCCTCCAAGCACGAGCCCCATGCCCGACGTACTGCACAAGTAGCGCATCACCCTCGTAGCGGCCTTCCAGTGCTCTGGTTGGTGTCCCCCAGGCGCAACGTAGCGTGCCAGGATGCTAAGAGGGTAAGCAAGGTCAGGTCGAATGCAGGTCATCAGGTACATGAGGCAACCCACAAGCTCTGGATATAAACCACTCAACTCTACGGACTCATCCGAAGGCAGAGCTGAGAGCGAGTGACCGGTAGCCATAGGAGTGGACTATGGGGAGGACCAAGTGAAGCCGAAGCGCTGTAGGACCAGCTGCACCATGTTTGACTGAGTCAGTGTGATCGTGCGCCGTGCTCTGTCCCGGGTGATCTGCAAGCCAAGGTAGTTGCGCAGCTCACCCAGGTCTGTGCACGTGTGTCTCTTCTGCAGCTCCGACTTCACAAGGGCGAGTGCCTTAGTGTCAGCAGTGGCAAAGACCAAGTCGTTGACGTACACGAGGATGAAGAACGGCGGCAGCAAAGTGTCGGTGCGCAAAAACAGCGACGTGTCAGCTGTCGAAGGAGCAAACCCAAGAGCCGCAAGTGTCATCCTCAGTGTGTCATGCCACTCATGAGGCGCCTGGCGGAGACCGTAGACTGGCCGTCGAAGGCTCCACTGGGTACCAGGAGGGAACGACCCAGTGAAGCCAGGTGGGCGGCGCAGCTAGATCTCCTCATGCAGACTGCCCTGTAAGAAGGCTGTGCTGAAGTCTAGAGAGTGAAGCTCGTAGTCACGATGAGCAGCAACGTGCATCACCACCCAAAGAGTGGTCATCTTCGGGGTGGGGGAGAAGGTCTGGAAGAAGTTAACTCCCTGTCGCTGACTGAAGCCTCGTGCAACGTAACGAGCCTTGAAGACAGGCGGAGAACCCGGTGGCCGCTTCACCCTAAAAATCCACATGCCATCGATGATGTTCGCCCCAAGAGGGGGAACCTCATCGACATAAGTGCCTGTGGACTTCCAGGATGCCATATCTGCATCCATGGCTGTCTGCCACCGAGAGGAGTAGGGACCCGAAATCGCCTCTGCGTAAGAGCGCGGGGTCGGGATGTCTGGTGCATCCGGGTCTCCCTCAGGGGCAAGCAGCATGGCTACGAGATGAGGTACAGCAGCCGCAAGACACTCAAGGTCCTCGTGCCTGTCCATAAAGACATCCGTGTTAAGAGCACACTCACCCTCGACGGACGGAGGACAGACAGACTCAGACTCTACAACAAGACTAGCGGCGTAGTCTATGTGACAGGCAGCAGCAAAATCAACAAGCTCAGCAACAAGGGCAGACGCAGCAGCGGACTCAAACGAAGGGTCAGTGACAACAGTAGCTAGCAGACAAGTGACAGTAGGGCTGGCAACACTAAGTAAGTCAGACTCAGGGTCTCAGCCGTCAGCAAGGGAGGACACAGGAGGAGACAGCAGAGGGACACGCAGTGGAACAGAGGAAGGACAAAGTGCCATCTGGTGCGTGCCGGGGACAGGAGGAGGAGGACGCTTACGCGGAACACGACGACCAGTGCAGACAGCACGAACAGGCGACGCAGGACGAGACGCAGGCTCAGGACGCTCAGTAAGACCTCTGGAATGCTCAGTGTAGGGAGAAGGAGCAGGCAGTGGGGAGGCGGGCTGTAATAGTGGCTATGACTGGTCAGGCAGTGGACATAGTAGCGGCGGAGTAAGGTCAGTAGAAGGCGAGAGACTAAGAACTTGCTGAAGCAGCGGAACGAAGTACGCTCGCGACCGCACAGCACCTCCAGCATCAGCCCTAGCACCAGCAGCTCCAGAACCGCTAGCCCTAGCGCCTCCAGCGCCACCAGCAGCAGCACCCCCAGAACCGGCACCTCCAGTCCCATGGCCTCCAACTCCTGGGTCGACAACACCAGCTCCAGGGTCTCCATCTCCAGTGCCTCCAACAGCAGCACCCCCAGAACCGGCACCTCCAGCTCCAGGGTCTCCAACTCCATGGTCGACAGCACTGGCTCCAGGGTCTCCAGCTCCAGTGCCTCCAGCAGCAACACCCCCCGAACCGGCACCTCCAGCTCCAGGGTCTCCAGCTCCAACGCCTCCAGCTCCAGGGCCTCCAGCAGCAGCACCCCCAGAACCGGCACCACGAGCTCCAAGGTCTCCAGCTCTAGGGTCGTAAGCACCAGCTCCAGGGCCTCCAGCCCCACTGCCTCCAGCAGCAGCACCACCAGTCCTGACAGCTCCAGTACCTCCAGTACGAGCACCTCCAGCAGTAGTGCCTCCAGCTCCAAGGTCTCGAACTCCAACATGTGGGTCTCCTGCTCTAGTGCCTCCAGCAGCAGCACCCCCAAAACCGGCACCACCAGCTCCAAGGTCTCCAGCTCCAGGGTCGACAGCACCCGCTCCAGGGCCTCCAGCCCCAGTACCTCCAGCAGCAGAACCCCCAGAAGCGACACCTCCAGCTCCAGCAGCACCACTAGTCCTGACAGCTCCAGTACCTCCAATACGAGCACCTCCAAAACCAGGAACACCAGCTCTCCCAGTGCTGCCACGGCGAGCAGCTCCAGCAGCTCCAACCACAGCACCTCGAGCTCGAGCACCTCCAGCAGCAGGACGCCCAGCTGCAGGAGCACGACTCCTCAGGCGGGTACACCATGCAAGCAACTCTTGTAGCTGCTGTGGTGAGAGCGGCCCTCGTCGGGAGGAGAGCACCGGAGGAACGGCAGCGAACACAGCACCCCCCGACCTGGCACCCTCCGGCTCAGCACCCCCAGACTCCGCACTCGTAGGCTCTGCACCCCCAGGCTCTGCACCCCCCAGCACCTCACGAACAGGCTCAGCACCCCCAGGCTCCGCACCCCCAGGCTCCGCACCCCCCAGCACCTCAAGGACAGGCTCAGCACCCCCAAACACAACACCCCGAGTAGCACCACCCTCAGTAGCACCTGAGTCGCTAGTTGTCAAGCTATATTTGTTATAGCTTATTTGTGTTAGTCTAGGTGTACTTTATGTTTTCTTAGGGTTAGGGTTATGCTTGCTATATCTTGGTTGTTTCTCATTTTCCTTAGTCAATTTTTACATAGTGACATGGTATAGAGCTAGGTTAACCCTATCGAGATTTTCCCCTT